GATTTGCACGTCCCCAGTCCGAATAGAGCAATCTCTCTCTTTATCTGTCCAAGCGACTTGCTGCTCGACTTAATCCCTCTTTGTCCATCCGATCCGAATACTCTCGGACTAGCTCTCGATTATTTTAATATCGATCTCTACGGCAGAAAACAGCATATCAAAATCACTCCCAATCAGCCACCTCATATACTCTCGCGCGCTGTCCAGCCACTACCCGCCCTAACTTTACCCAGTTTGATCAAATTGCTAGTTATTCTCTCCTCATTTCATACTTCTGGACCGCGCACCGGCGTTGACTATCCTTTCCGGTACCTGCTGTTTCAGCTCTCTCTTGATGCGCGTGCCAAAGATCCGTTGGACCTTGGTTCGCCTGCTGCACAACAGGTGTGGGATACATTGTTTATTTGGAAACGTGGTTCATGATCAAGAGCAGGATATGTGGGACGCAGTACAGCAGGAGTGGAAGGCTAAATTAGACCTCAGACTAATTTAGCGCTTTTTATGTTGTTTCACCCATTGACCTGTCCCTTCCAGTATTGCTCGAACAATGGCACAGTGAACTCACTCGAAATTGTGATGCTCTCCAGCCTGGCTCCGATGATCATCAGCCTGATTCCGAATCTCTGTTCGTCCTTACACCTGAACGATTTCAAGGCATATATTCGTCCACCAATCCTTTCACCCCGACCGAGGTCCGAGCCCTTCAGGCCAGAGAAGTCGATGAAGAGTATGACATGTGGCTCCGTTCTTTTCTAACTATTTTCCCCTGCAAGCGTAGCATCCCCAAGTGTTCTTAATGATGACATGGAATCTCAGGAATTCGTCAAGAATCTTTCTAAAACTCATCGTTCCAATTTCGCTCCGGTGAAACATGAAAGCTCTATGTCTTTCTTACTTTGAACTTGGTCATCTGTATTGAATGCTGAACAGTATGCACTAGACTGGCGCCTGTGCTGTTATCAGAACTGATCGCAGTCATTCCTAAAGGTCCGACAACTCATACTGTTGAGAAATTCGCGGCAGTGGAAACAACCCGCTATGTAGGGATGGGAAATTGGCTGAATTTGGAGGGACGATTTGGAGCATGATGCTGCGGATTCTGACCGTGACCATTACACCACCATTCTCGTAACTTGGACTTTTCCGAAACCTTTCTTGGTCTTCTGACGGCACGCTGTCCTCATCGAATGTTGCAGTGTCAAACAGCTATCTTTTTTGCACTGACAGATCTCTTCTGTGTCGACTGTGTCTTCCTCTTCGCCGGAACCTGATTGAGTTGCTTCGTATACAACGTTGGACACGAGCTTGTGCTGCTGATTTTTCCTTCATTCCTTGTCTGGTAGTTGGGCGTGATCCATCAAGTTCGGCCGGTCCACTGTTTAGGTTGAACGTTCAATGTTGAAAGCTGTTGAACGTATGTAGAACGGCAACGTCTGATTTCCCATATGGCTGTGTGGTAGGCTCAAAACTAATCGTTTATAAGTAGCTGAACTGCGACTGGAACAGTCTTCTGTGACTGCAATCCCGAGCACGTCTGTAGCTAGCTCCAAATTTAAATTCTCTCACGCTAGCACAATACTTTTGATCCAAACAGAGATGTGTCTCTTTGTCTCTGTGCACGTCTGCTATTATCGGGTCGGGTTCTTCAATATCCTGTCTTAAACGTTCAGGGGAATCGCAATCTAAGAAAGGCAATCACACAACGTCTTCGGGGCCATCTGACAGGAAATGCACCATACACATGCGTAATCCAGCTTATTCAAAGCAACCAGCAAGTATTTCATCACGGCGCCTGACGCAACATTGAGGATTCACCCCCTTCTTGAACAATATGTTCACCCCTCGAATCCTGGGCTTTTTTGTCGCTCTGGCCATTGGAATTGGAGGGCGCGCAGCCTCGCCTCAGGTTAAGTTAGGACACACTACGTTAGTAGGACGTGGTGTGACGCCCTTGGAACAAGACTTTTTTGGAGGTGGGATATTGGGAATGTTTTCTTACGTGTCTCTCACGTTTTCTACAGGGATTCCTTATGCTGAGCCGCCTCTTGGAGAATTACGCCTCCAACCAACGGTTCTGAAAACTAGTCTTGACGTCAATGAGTTCGATGCTAGTAATTTTGGGGCATCTTGCTTGCAACTGGTAGGCTAGAGCAGCTGGATTTGCATTCGCGTTTTCTATTAACTCGTTGCGGCAGTTGCTTCCAGGACTTGAGCTTGAGCTTTCAGAGGACTGTTTAACAATAAATATCTTCCGACCTTCGGGCACAACAGCGAGTTCGTCCCTCCCTGTCATGTTTTGGTAAACACATACGCCAGTCCCCGTAAATGGTGAGATTACGTACTCATGATGTTTGTAGGACGTACGGTGGTGGATTCCAACAAGGCTCAGGTACCATGTACAACGGAAGCGCAATCGTAGCCCAGAGTGTTGCTCGGGTACATTTGAATTTTTTTATACCTTCCCACACGATTCATATCACTGATGCCTGTCATTGATGATCATAGGGAACCCCCGTCATCTACGTGAACTTCAATTATCGACTTGGACCCCTTGGTTTCCCGCAAGGACAAGAGGCAGCTGATCGTAAAGCTTTGAACTTGGCTTTGCATGACCAGATCGCTGCACTCACATGTAAGTAACCTGGTGGAAAAGTTCCCAACATGTACCCGGTTCCGAAATTAACGCTTCCCATAGGGGTGCAAACCAATATTGGCGCATTCGGTGGGGACAAGGACAAAGTATGTGTTATACTCGGTGTATTTGAATGTTTTAATTTCGGATCTGGATGCGTCCTTCATAGGTTCTCGTGTTCGGAGAGAGTGCGGGGGCGATTATGACCGCTGTACAGTTCCTAAATCCTGGACTTTCTCGGTTTGCTAGAGCTGGAGTAAGTTAGGGCTCTCAAAACGACTATCATACATTCAAAACCTTCTCGTAGATATTCGAATCTGGCTCCGCGGCAACTGCGTTGACGTTCAACGCCCAAAAACGCCAGGTCGACTGGGACAACTTTGTTGCAGGCGTACCCGGATGTTCAAATCTTACCAAGACAGACCACACGTTTGCATGTTTGAAATCAGTCAATTCGACGGCTATTCTGGCTGGACTGCTTGTCTCTGAGACTGAAGCTCCGGAACAATTCCCCTGGAGTCCGACTATTGATGGCCCAGGCGGTTTCATTCCCGAACTACCGTCGTTGCTGTTCCAAAAAGGGATCTTTGCCAAAATCCCGTTCATTTCTGGCACGAATTTAGATGAAGGTTCGCTGTTGACTGTTTAGCATACACAGTTTATAATCGATTCGCCCATAGGCACCCTCTTCACTACTCCATTTACTCAAAACTACACGTCGGAGCTTATCAAAGAAATTATTGTAGCCAACTTCTCTCCTCCTGCCGTACCTTCAGTTACGGAAGCGCAATTGGAAGCCGCAGCGGACCGGCTGCTGGAGTTATACCCGGACATACCTGCCCTCGGATCTCCTTTCAACACTGGCAACGAGACGTTCGGACTGAGTCAAGGCTTTAAGAGAGCTGCTGCCATTGGTGAGCATCCTATCCATTGTAGAGATCAGTCTCAATACCTGATGAATTTTGAACCAGACGGAGATATTAGCTTCCATTCTCAGCGAAGGCTCTGGATCCAGACGGCGAGCAATGCTGGTGTCAAGACTTTCGGGTATCTGTTCACGCAACCGCAGCCTGAGAACCCACCGTTCCTTGGAGGTAAATACTGTGTTCTGCTCTTTGTGGTCGCGTGGAACTAACTTTGCGGGTCAAAAGTCTCTCATGGATCAGAGATAGACTTTGTCTACGGTATCCCCCCGGACAATTCTTCCTCTGCGCTAGCAATTAGCGAAATAATGATCGACTATTGGGTGTCGTTCGCTACGAGTCTGAATCCGAGTGATGGAAAGGGTGTTCCTCGTAAGTAGATCGCTTATCTTCTGAAGAGCCTTGCTTAAAATGTCCTTGTCATATTCGCAGGCCCTACTTGGGAACAATACACGCCGCACAACCAAGTGCGTAATGGATTTTCTCTTCGCGACTGCAATAGGTTGAACTTTTTCCTTTTTTTTTTCTCGCAGGTTCTCATTCAGTTGAATGGCGATAACACGACCATTATTCCGGACAACTACCGCCAGGAAGGCATCGATTTCATTAATTCTATGCCTCTTACATTCCACCATCGTCGTTAGCTGTGATGTATACATACGAGTATATTCAATTGTTGGTTTGTACTGAAGAAATGGAGCAGCAAGTCAATAAATGCGTCTCACATGGTTCAGGTTGAACATTGAACACTGAGTATTTACTGGATACATGCGCACTGAACGTTGAGTTACAATGGCTAATAAAGATACTTTATTTTTACTGCATCGGCGTGCTTGCCATCGAATCAATCTCCATTCCTGCATCGATCATCATCTGCGAAGCAACTGCAGAAGCCACTTGCGAAGATCTTGCCGAAAATTCAACCAGCTGATCCCTAACGTGTATTGAGTGTAAATGTCGGCCAACACAGAAAGAACAGCAGGAAAAGAGAGGTCCCAACCTACCGTTTACGATCTCTTAACGTAGTAAGCATCTCAATCACATCATCTTGATCGTTTATGTGCAGTTCGCCACCTGGAAGGTTCGCAGCGAGCGTTTTTGCCTGAAGAAGGAGCGACTTGAATTCGTTCGTCTAGTACAGTCGAATGTGTTTATTCGAATTATCAATGTTTTCGGTCAATTGACGCGGGTGGTAAGCCCTCTGCGCGGGGAAGGTAATCCGTAGAATACTAACCGCCTGTAAGACTGCCTGCTTAGATTGAGGAGTCGATATTCCTTCCGGCTTTTGCGTGAGCTCGAGAACGGTGACCAGCTTTAGCAATAAACTCTCGTACACCGCAGAGGGGATGGTGTTTGAGGAAGCTGAAGCCATATTGAGGCACGTGATGGACCGTTAGTTATTCGCTTGCAGTAGGCAAGCGTCAAAATGTTCGGCAGGATAAGTCGGCCGTGTGGCGTAATGGCAACGCGCTAGTTTCCGGTGACGCTGAAAATTCGTTACATCTAGTAGAGCTAGAGACTGTGGGTTCGAGTCCCACCATGGTCGTTGAATCCTCCTTCCATCTTTTTATGAAGACCTCCAGTTTACGTCCTTGAGCGTGTTTGTAGCATGTACAGCTTCCGCCTGCTGTCCGTGTCCACCAGCGATCTTATATGGCAAGTAAAAACGCTCTAATCTTTGAACGACCTTTTGAAAAAAGCAAATGCAATCTTTTCGCAGCAAGAAATTATGTTCGTTACGGACTTTGCGAGTATGATGCATATTGAGGAAAAAGACGATCTTTCGCCGTTTGTACCGCTGTATATGACCCGAAATTGTCGCCCGCCCCCTCCAAATCCAGCCAACCACAGCACGAAGAATCTCTACGGAAGAGTCACATACTACAAAGACGGTTGGCCAGGCCTTTACCAGTAACTGCATCTTCACCACTCCAACTCTCCCCGACAGCTCATCCCCAATAAACCAATCCAATTTCAGCCTCAAATTTACCTTCCCCATTGCATTGGTGTCTAAGATTCCGGTTTTCAACCCACCTCATCGAGTTTCACGACGATTGTTTGACGGGTAACCCGAAGATGAGCATACCAGTTTTTCGAGTAAACAGGTTAATGCCAGTGGGTGTACTACCGACTGTTGTCGCTGAATAGTGCAAAAAGGCTGAAATGGGTGGCAGATTAGGAGCGCTGGGATACGTATAGGATGCGTGCTCAGCGCTCAACTTGGGAGCGTACCTCGGCTTTCCCGTTGTTCGTATGGTCTGTAGATATTTTTTGTAGGGTGGCAGCAGGAGGAAAGGGAGGTGATCTGCTACTGAGGCTATGGAAATATTATTCGCCGATTTAGCGAGTTCATGACTTTTAATTCTCTCGTACGTCTATCTTGTCAGACCTCTTCTGTATATGCGCAACGCATAGCCTACTGACGCGACTTTAGTATGTTAATGTGAGTTTTACTGTTTGCTGTGTCGATTGACACTTCTGACTTCTTTAAAACATGCCCTCACTGGCTTTCTGTACTTGAATCTCAAGCCAAGCTTTACAAAGCTTCGTCTACTCAACAGAGTATTTAAATAGTTCAGAAATGGGAACACTCGACATTCATAAATTCGGGCTGCTATCTACACCTTTAACCAAGTATTGGTTTCATGCACATGGCGAAACCCCTCTTTCTGAGTTCGTTCTTCAACGGGTCTATCATACGTCGAGGATAGCTTTGTCCGAGAGCGAGCTAGTAACAAAACAGGATCAGTCGTATGCTATGTCTTTCCTGATACTAACTTTTAATTATGGGCAACCATAGGGCTTCGTGATATATATCCTACATAGTACGATCAAATTAGTACTCGACAAGACCCATGCTCGCTTGAATATAATGAGTAATTCTCAACAGCTCGCATCTGAATCTGTGCCCTCGCAGAAGGCTCGAACATTCAAGAGCTTATCGAGAAGACTCCGGCTCATTTCGCCGTTGTTCGAGGGCTCTGCGCTTGGTGTGTTCCTCGCGCCGCATAGTCGTCTCATCGAGATTGTACAATTCCTGTGCAGTTCTGCCAAAGGAGTCGTGTATGGCAGAATTACAGCCTGCCTCCAACAGGTATTCCCTGATATCATCGCGATGAAGCTTACTCGCTATATGGAGAGCTGTTTGGCCAAGCACATCCGTAGCATCCAAATCTATGCCATGTCGGACGAGTTCCTTGAGCATAGGAAGGAGACGACTGCTGTCCTCCCTGACTGAAACTGCAATGTGAAGCGCTGTCTCTCCATCTTCTGTGCAAGCGGATAGGGTGGCCTGATGATCCAAGAGCACATTAAGGGCTGCCGTAGAAAGTTTGTAAGCTGCAAAATGGATTGCAGACCAGCCCGACGGCGAATTGAGCGAACGCTCTGGTGGTTGGGCAACTGCTGTCGCATCAGCGCCTCGCTGGAGTAGCAGGGTGAGATTAGGGCATATCTTGTTCTCTCCTTCGTTTTGGCAGGCATAGATTGCCCAGCACACTAGCGGTATGCCTTGATGTGCGATAGCGGGATCTGCACCATGTTCCAGTAGAAACGGTGTGGTCTCGTGTTGATCTAGCCCAACCGCCAACCCAAGTGCGGTCACATTTTGAACAGAGAAGTTTGGATTAGCCCCACGTTCTAGTAGGACAGAGACCATCTCGCGGTTCCTATGCTGCACCGCTGCGGCGAGCGCAGTCAGGGCGTCAACTGAAGTATTGATGTCGGCACCATGATCCAAGAGGAGAGAGACCATCTTCAGGAAATTCCCATGTACTGCAGCTATGCCCAGTGCCGTGACAGAGTTGTGGCAGGAACGCAGGTTAATGTCGACCTCTCCATACTTCAAAAGTACTTGAGCAAGCTCGAGAGCTCTCTCTTCGTCTTTACAGCCTTTCTCTCTCCTACCGTTTCCTTTCTCGCTAGCACTCCAAGCACATTCGTGAAGCGCCGTTGAGCCTTCTGCTGCACGAGCGTTGACATCCGCTCCGTTTTGTAGAAGGTATCGACAGAGCTGTGGTTTCTCGGCCTCGACAGCAAACCTCAGAGGAGTATAGAGTGTGCGTTGCATCACATCGTTCACGGTACTAGGATAGTTTTTGATCATTGACATGGTGACTTTAACGCTCAGGTTATCCGAAAGGGTCATTGCTTGACAACACAAGTGCAGAGGAGTGCGATTGTCCTTATCCCGAGCACTTGGATCTGCACCATTCTCAAGCAACGCGGATACGGCGCAAGGTTTTCCAGATACGGCAGCCATGTGTAACGCCGATAACCCATCGTTTCCCCATGACGCCTGACCAACGTCGACGATGCTCGCGCTGGCAAGAAGATGCATGCTGGCAACGGCGACCTTCTCAGACGAAGATACGAGAGCGTTGGCGGTCGCTGAGTCGTGTGATAACTCTGCGCCAGCGGCACAGGCAAGAGTGACGAACCTGCGCCATCCAAAGGAGAAGATGTGCTGAACACACCGATCAGCCATCTCTAGAGCACTGCTCTCCTTAGAGCCGCGAAGAATTTCCGAGAGACCTTCCCAGTCCTGCAATTCCATCATGGCTCTGAACGGTGTCAACTTGGCCCCGGGTGCAAGCTGGAATGGATCCAAAGGTCGGAGAAGGCGAAGAGCTTCTTCTCTCAGGTTTTGGTGTCGATCTGAGCAAAGAATGTAGCAGTACGCCAGGAATACCTTCGAATCGAAGCTGGACAGGTCTACGGATTCCTCGTATAGATGCTTCTGTAAGGACCAGGGAACTTGTAGCAGTGGTTCCCCATTGACCTGTCGATGATGTGAATTTGAATCCAGTTGTACGCGCAGCAGAGGCTTACAGTATGGTCAGAGGTGCCTGCGGAAGCTTGGGATTCCTGATGCTGTATATCGCCAGTCTGAGATGCCGCTACGGATACACCTGTGGAACTGCAGAGAGTGTCAATTCTTTAGTACTAATGGCAATAGAATTGGATATCTTACGCTTGTTCAATACCGTTCAGTAACTGAGCAGCTACTACGCTGAGAGGGGAACGCTGTGTGGGGTCAGCACGTAGCATGTCGCTAATGACGGGCTTCATATATTGTGGTGTATCATCTGGCATTTGTGCCAAAAGATAAGTAGCTGCCTCACCCTGACTATTAGATTTCATTTGCACAACCTTTTCTGGGGTAGTTATATCCCAGAACGGAAGATGTTGGCAATTAGTAGCCAGCTCCCACATCAATAACCCAAAAGCATATATATCCCGATACTCCGAGTTTCCGTATTTTTGAGTCTGAGGTTCGGTCCCGCCCTCCCAGCTGAAGCACTCGGGTGCAAGGTAGTATCGTGTCCCGGCAGCTATAGGAGATTTTGCTCCAAGAACTGTGCTATTGCCGAAATCAGAGAGCTTTGCGCAGAACCGGGTCTTCTCATGGGGGAAAACAAGCACGTTCTGGGCCTTCACATCTGCATGCACGACGCCCTTGGTATGAAGAGCTTGCAGTGCAGTGGCAATCTGTAATGCAAAGCGAAGTTTTAGTTCCCAACTAATCTCAGGGACAATCTTGGTACGAAAGAAGTCAATGAGGTTCCCAAGAGCAAGATCAAGCACTAGCGTAGGTTTGACTTCTGGGCCAACTTCCACAAAGGCGACTCCCAAAAGATTCACAATGTCGGCACATGATCTCTGTTCACCCATTATCCGAACTTCCTTTAGAAAGGTGCCAAGAACCAATGGGCGGTTGTCGGTCTGGTGAATTGATTGAACCGATTCTTTAAGAGCTACTGCAATCCGAGTAGGCGACCTCCCTAGGCTTATGAATGATCCCGCAGATGCAGATGCACCACTCCAAGGCTTGATGAACTTGCGGTCGCCATATTCGCGCTCGCTACGTTTCTTCTGAGGGAATGACGGCGAGGAGTGGTAGTCCTTGAATAGATATCCAGTAAACACAGTGAAGTCACGACCTGGGAATAAAACCGTCGCTCATCAATACGTCTTTCCGTCCTTCCATGCCTCACCTGCACATAAATAGTCACCCTTCGAGACAAAATCATATTGTGGAGTCTCTTCTGGGGGTGCGCTTGAGCGGGTTTTTAGGTAATCCCCATGGTATCTCAAGACTGTTGAGCCACATTTGTAAATCTCGTTGACCAGCTGTCCGTATGTCGAAATTTCCAGTTCATCGCTCTGTGAGATGGAGAGATCGGCGGTGGAATCAAGGTAGTTCAAGTCACTGAGTTCAAAAGGATCTAGAACCATATCGGATCGAATCGAGTGTTTGGTCACTGTAGACCGATTCTGGAAGTAGCATTACCTCTTTTTGGAGAAGAATTGTTGTCATCCATACGAAAAGAGAAGTTGCGCAGTAGAGTAAATGGCGGACGTGAGGAGGTAGCGCGTTGGAATGGCCTGGCGAGTGATGGATGTGATCCCGTTGTGCTTATTGGTTGTGTACTGTGGCTAGACTACCCGACTACCTGACTATACTGAACAGGCCTCTGAATCTAATATGCGTAAACAACCGAATGTCCCAAAATGTCTCCGACTGCTCTGATACCCCCTACTCGT